GGTAAGGAATCGTTACATATGAAAAAGATATAACATCACCATCATCCCATCCTATTTAAGATAGATCTGTATTATTTGTATTTGTAAATAAAAAATTTGATTTTACTATGTTATTCTTCTATGTCTATTTGAGTATATTTATTTTATTGAGATAAAATAGCGAGTAATTTAGAGTTTAAGTCGGTCCTAGGCCAATACCCATATTCAAAGGGGAAAGGTGAAAAAAAAATTAAAATTTCAATTAATCTTTATCGAACATGACTTATACCAACAAGTAGGTGAGTTTCTAAAGATTGATAGCCTTTTATTAACATGAGCAATAAGTCATCAATAACCTCACTCATATAAATGAAAAGCCATCGGTGACTTCGAGTCATGAATTTAAGAAGTTACCAATAACTTTATCAAATAAATAAAAAGCCATTGACAACTTAATTTTACTCAAGTAGGGAGTAGGTAATCGGTTTGGAAGTTACGGGTAGCTTCATCCATATAATGGGAAGCCACCGATAACTTCATTTCGGAAAAATAAAAAGACCGATCAAATGATTTGAAATTCATAGGTAGCTTTGTCTACATACGTAGGAAGCCATCGACAACTTCATTTAAAAAAAAAAAGTAAATTGATTTGAAAGTTGCAAGTAATCTTATCCATACGGGTGGGAATTTATCGATAGCTTCATTTCTAATAAACAAAAAATTAGATAATCATGTATTTGATAAGAATATTACGCGTTCGATATGCTATAGACAAGTATACCAAATCAACCGCTTAACAATGTAAGCACAAACACCACATTCAAATACAAATACTAAGACTAATATTTATCCTAGATCCATAATTGAAATTAAATTTCAATTCCCGTCCTCCTAGCTCCATCACAAAGCATTGATCACCAATCTTATTTCACCTTAAAATGCCTAGGATCTTCGATCCTTTCGAGTTCGATACATAATAGTATACCTAATCACACTTTGAATTCTTTAAAAATCACAATCAAGGAAATTTTAAATTTTAAAATAAAGCGAGTTTAATCACTAATATTAAATGGGTAAAATTTTTTGAATGTTACCTAAAATAAGTTGAAAGGTGTTGAAACTACCAAAGACATTTTGTTTGGGATCAATTCTACTCTTTTCATCCCCGATGAGAATTGATTTTTTAGTTAGCCAGAAAAGAAGAGTAAAATCCCATTTTCAAGATTGTTGGTGTGGGTTTTGCTAGAGTGATTGCCTTTTTTGTGCTAGAACGTCAAGGAGTTACTCGTCTACGACTTTTAGAGGATGGACTCGTTTGGAACCATATCTTTTGGACCAATTTTGGATCGGATGCGGGTTTATTTTGGTCTTTATCCTCATAAATGTTGGAGGTATGAATGTCTTATTTCTGGATAGTTTTGAATAATTAAAATCCAATATGTATAGCTCAAGATACGAGAAAAACACTAGGTAATATTTTGGACTCTGCTCGTTTCTAGAGTACGGATTATTTAGAGCTATATCTTTTGGATAAATTTTAGATCAGATGGATATTTCTTTTGGTTTTTTTTCTTTTCATAAATTTATAGTTATGGATGTCTTCTTTCTAGGTAATTTTGAATCATCACGATCAAATGTGTATAATTCCAAATATAGGTAAAATACTAAGTAGTGTTTTGGATTGTTACAGGATTTAAATTTCTAATTCAACTTTGCAATCGACTTTAACAACCCAAATCATATTGTATTTTTGCATTTTTGATCAATATAGAAAGCTTAATATATATAATTCAAACCCTAAGAAGGTCTTTTTTCTTTTCTATCCTATAAGAAGGTGAAATCCCCAATCTTATTTTAAAGGTTAATTTGTCAATAGTGAGGTCATCATGGGTTTTAAGAGGTTATTTTAGGGATTTTTGTTGCTTATTTTTTAGGCTTTTTGATTGTTGAATGGTGGTGGGTTAGAGAGACTATTGAAGGGGCTTTTTTGAGACAAAAGAGTGGCTAGAAAGTGGTGAAAGAAGGGCTGGATAGCGAGAGATGGCAATTGTCTTGTCGGCGATTCCGCCACTATTTTAGTAACTTAGATCTACTATTTTGGTCGCTTGGAGGCTACCGAAAGTTACAAAAGCAGATGATGGCTAGATTGTGGAAGGATGCAATGGTAAAAAAGGATCAACAATGGTAAAAGAACGTTTAAAATATGGTTGCAATGGTGACAACAATGGTTGTTACGAAGAAGGGTCGTTTTGACATATTTGGATGGCTTCCTTCTTCTTCTTCTTCTTTTTTTTTTTTCATCGCTAAAATGTAGGAAGAGGTGGGTGCTTGGACTTTGGGTAGTTTTAGGTGATGGGGATGGAGATTGAGTGGAGTTTTGATGGTAAGTATTAAGGATTTGGCCAAAATAGAAGGATGATTATAGCCAAGTTTTGGAGAAGATGATGAATAATGCTAGCCCTCTTAAAATAAGAGAAAAGATGGGTATTTATAGGGAAAAAAAATTAGGGTTACGAAAATATATATTTGAGTTCCTAATTTTCTATATTTGTCAATTTTAATGTTATTTGGTTATTTGAACTTCAATGGCACCCCTTAATTGTAATTACTTAGGGTCTCTTCTTTCAAATTCTCTCAATTGTGCCTTTTTTTTAAAGCAAGGATTTGGGGTTTTGGACTTTTCAATTACACTCTTAATTGATTTTTTTTTTTTTTTTTTTGGTTTCCAAACTTCATATTTCTTTTAATTAGACCTCTTAATCATTTTTTTTAAAAATAATTCTCCTTTTTTCCTCTCTCTCTCTCTCTCTCTCTCTCTCTCTCTCTCTCTCTCTCTATATATATATATATATATATATATATATATATATATATACACACACACACACACATTCTTTTAACTCATGAATTTAAACAAATTAATTGACATAAAAATTAGGTGCCGACAATCCTCCCCTACATTCTACTTGAAATGATCGTATCCTTGCATTATTCTTACTCACCAATCTCTCCCCTCATTTTGTTTTCTTTTCCTAATGCCTCTTTGCTCTTTTGTTTTGGTGCAACATAAAGAGGGGTGAGAATTAAGTGGTTAAAGGACAAGACGTGGCTTGGAGTTTTGTTGGGGTGTTGAAAGAGAGTCTAGATACAAGGGCAACATTGAAAAGCTTGTGGCCTAATGGTAGTGGTCTCTTGCAAAAAGTCATGGGTTAAAGTCTAATAGATTAGTTCCGTTAGGAGCCTTGAGTGTGTGAGTTGAAAAAAAAATATAGAACTAAAGAGCTTGTAGCCCGAGTGGTAGTGGTCTCTTGGAAGAGATCATAGGTTCAAATCATAGCAGACTAATTCGTTAGGAGTTTTGGATGTGTGTGTTGGAAAAAAAGAAAGAGAAATTGAGTTCAAATCATAGCGAGACTAATTCGAGTTAGGAGCCTAGGTTATGTGAGTTATATATATATATGATATATATATATATATATATATATAAAGTACAAAGGGCTATTTAGAGAGAGTTTTCATGAAAAGATGATAACAAGCCATTTCTTTGGAACTCGATGTAAGGTCTCTCATGAGGAAGAAAAAGTATAGTGCATGGTCTGGTGGGTTTTTGAGAATTTAAGGCAACGGATGACGGGTCGTTCATTGCCAAACGTTCAAGTTCATCCTATCTTCCGCGAGCTATTTTCAATTTCACCTCTTCGCATTTCAATGCATCTTCAATTAAATCCCTTGAGTCAATTATTTGGTCCCTCTAGTTTCAATTCTTTTCAATTACACCTCAATTTCTTCTCGATTGGTCCCAAAGATTTACGATATTCATAAATTAGCTCATAATATTTTTCAAATCAATTGCGATTGAATCCCCGAATGTGAAATTAACTCTTCTTTTTTGTGTATTTGTTCATGGCAAAATAACCTAAATTTCAAATGAAGCTAAAAATAAAGATGGTTAAAAGAAAAATTGTATTTTTATTTTTTATTTCTTTACCTTTTGTTTTATCTTCAAAAATTAGAACATCATTAAGAATTAATTAAAAATAAAACCAAATTAAAATTCATGGATCATTGACTATAATAAAAAAATAAAATAAAATAGAGGAATTAAACCTAATTAATTTTGGAGGTCCAAAATTGGGTTATGATAAAATGTATATATTGTCAAAAAGTTAATCTTCTCATGAGTATTAAATAAAAATAAAAAAGATTCATTTGTTACTTTTTATACAAGTTTTTATATTAATTATTACTTTATTTCTTCAAACAATGATATGAAAAATTATTAAGATATTTTTAAAAATTTTATATTTAAATCATCATGGGTGTTTTTTTAAGAAAAAACAAATCATGTTTTTTTTTAAACGACATATTTTATTAAAAACATTAAAAAAATTAAATATAAAATTTTAATTAAAAATTATAATAGTTTATAATATTTTATCTTTTATTTTTCATTTAATATATTTTAATTGATTGATGCATTAATATATGCTATTAAAATAAATTAAATATGTTTAATTGGGTATTAGAGTAGCACTGGATGGCGACCACCTCTTGTAATGTCGAAGTTCTTAAGTCTCAAGATTCTAGAACTCGCACTAGCACTGAGAATCAAAAGCTTATTTTTGGGCAGACTAAGAAATTAGCTAAAAGACCACCTCTCTAATATCTTCAAGTATTTCGTTCCACCCCATTTTCATTAAATTGAAAACAAAATTTGATCACAGCCATGGAGCAGAAGCATTGGCCAAAAGAATGTAAGCAGATACAAAAAATCCAATTCTTGAATTCAACAATAATCAGTAAAGTACCGTTGAAGCTCAAATTTACCTACAATTCTCTTGCTTTCAGTTTTTTTTTTTTTTTTTTCAATTTTTCTGAGTCTTTTTATTTTGGATGGCTGACATTTTAAGTGGATTTTATGGCTGAGGTGATTCCTCAAATTTTCTATAAAAAAATCTAGCTAGGCCTAGGAGCATAGATTGCAAAGAGACGAGGGGCGTTAACACTTAACAGTTGGAAATATGGAAACCGCACTGACAACAGCTATACCCAAACTCACAGCCCTTCCCCCTCCCATCTCTTCCAAATCATTTTCTCTCAGATTTTCCCTCACTTTCCCGGCAAGCAATAATAATTATAACTATATAAGGAAAAACACTTGTGTTAAGCAAACTTGTTCACTCTCTCACATTCCACTGAGAGTGTGTGCAAGTTCCCAATCCCAGGCAGCAGCCGAAGCCACCAAAGTCTCCTCTATACCTTCTGAAATGAAGGCATGCGTGTATGGAGAATATGGGGGTGTGGAAGTTTTGAAGTTTGATGATAAAGTTTCAGTTCCTCAAGTGAAAGAGGACCAGGTTTTGATTAAGGTTGTCGCTGCTGCTCTTAACCCTGTTGATGCCAAGAGAAGACAGGGCAAGTTCAAAACCACTGATTCTCCCCTTCCGGTACATCTCCTGCCTCCTTTTAATTTGTTTTACGCCCTCTCTCCTCTAGTATTTAGAGAGAAGATATAGGGCAGAAAGATTATTAATACGAAAAGATTAGGATTCTTGCAATATTATTAGTACCATTTCTGCCAGCTGCTACATTGAGCCAAATTGACAACATTATGAAATTTTTTGAAGCTAAAAAGAAGAACATTTTTGTGTTTGTGTTTGCATTTTCTCACCGTGCAATTAGTATTGAGCATAATTTTGATGAATCTTCAATTGTTAGCTACGCGAGATTGAGTTGCATTTTGCACCAACCGATCTATTAACAAAAAAGGGTCTTTCTTGTTTTTTTTCTTTTGATTTTCAATTTTAGACTGTTCCTGGATATGATGTTGCTGGAGTGGTGGTAAAAGTTGGCAGTCAAGTGAAGGAACTAAAAGAGGGGGATGCAGTCTATGGCAACATAAATGAAAAGGCATTGGAAGGGCCAAAACAATTTGGCTCTTTGGCTGAATACACTGCTGTTGAAGAGAAGTTATTAGCCCTGAAACCTAAGAATCTTGATTTTATACAAGCTGCTGGTCTTCCTCTAGCAATTGAGACTGCATATGAGGGTCTGGAGAGGACTGGCTTCTCTGCTGGGAAATCCATTCTTGTTTTGAATGGTGCTGGTGGTGTTGGAAGCCTCGTGATTCAGGTATGCTATACTTGGCAATCATGAATTCAATTTTCCTGCGGATTTAAGCATGATTTATAATTAGGGCAAATGCATAGGATAATGTTTGCAAAGGAAAAACAAATAGATTAATGATGATGATGATGGCATCTTTAGATGCCTACATTTTACAACAAGTGTTGCTCTAACTTCAAAATCTTGGAATGCAGTACTGTTTGCCATCACTCAAACTTTTAAAAGCAACTTTCAAAGATCCTTTGTTTATTCTTTTTTTAAATTCAATTCTTCTCAGCTAGCAAAACATGTGTTCGGTGCGTCAAGAATCGCAGCTACTTCAAGCACTGGAAAATTGGAGTTACTGAAGAGCTTGGGGGCTGATTTGGCTATCGACTACACTAAAGAGAACATAGAAGATTTGCCAGAAAAGTTTGATGTAGTGTATGATGCTATTGGTAAGTTTTTAACACTAAATGCTTGTTTCAAGAAGGTATTAGATTTTGTTTCCATTGTCAGAAGGTCTCGGTCACAAGTTTTGAGCCTAACAAAGCATAGCAAATATGAGATTGAGGTTTATTAAAAGGAAAAAAATATGAACTCATTGTAGATTTTCAGAGGTGTTCATCGCATTGCTTAACAACTTAGCATGCTTTCATTGCCAAAACTATAACTTATTTCAGCAGCAGACTATAGATGTGGAAGTATTTTATGCATCATTGATCTAATTAAGTCAAAATTACATAAAAAGATAAATTTTAATGAAACTAATGCTCTTTTATTCCAAAATGACAGGCCAATGTGACAAGGCGGTAAAGGTTGTGAAAGAAGGGGGCAGCGTAGTGGCCTTAACCGGTGCAGTCACACCCCCTGGTTTTAGATTTGTGGTCACTTCCAACGGAGATACTTTGAAGACACTAAACCCATATTTGGAGAGTGGAAAGGTAAAGCCAGTGGTCGATCCTAAAGGACCATTCCCATTTTCTCAGGTTGCAGAGGCTTTTTCTTACATTGAAACAAACCGAGCAACCGGCAAGGTAGTTGTACATCCAATTCCATGAGAAGAATGAAATTAACAATGCCATTTTGCAATGTATTCCCCCTTTAATAACCCACTTCAATCCCTGCTTAAATAACAATGTTGGAGTAAGACTGTGTTGATATATAGAATATATGAGAGTTGAAATTTTCCAATCTGGAAAAATGCTTGATTAGATGAACTCAAAAGATTTTCTACAAAGGACAAAGCATGTTCATTGGGATAGAGTGATCAAGTATTCTTCAATTGACAAAACGAAATATAGTTTCTATATATAATTTGAGTGAATTATTAATTAGCACCTTGTGAAACTAGCTATTTAGTCATTTTTTTGGGTCCATTTTCGGCAATCCTGTTTCCGATACAACAATCTTAATCCCCTGAAATCCACTCCACATTGCTTATACAAATGCAACAATACTGCATCAAAAAGATTAGCATACCTGAACCCACCATCTTGCGCTATATTTTGGCTTCCAAATTAGGCATAATCTAATGAAACATGTTCCATATTGTTTATGTAGTTTATATAAAGATAATCATGAAAAGAGATGTAGTATCATATAAAAATTTCAAAAGAGAGATCATAACATAGTGGAGAGCTGAGGGTCAAATGTTGCTGATGGTGGAGGCTATGAAATAGAGAGCAGGGATGCAGCTTTTGGTGATGATAACTTAATACTAGGTACTAGATTTTTAGCAGTTGTAGTGCTTGGAAAAGTATCATCATGGCAGGAATTACATAAGGAGTGTAGAATGGATCTTTGGGAAAGACTTCATTTCCAACAGTAATGTATTTGACTTGAACATTGGTGATATTTAGAAAAACATTGGATTGAAGTTACCCCAGAGAAGAGTTAGAAGTGCTAGAGGCAAGAGAAGGAAGATTTTCGTTGGGAATGTCAACAATAATGTTGATTCAAGTCCCTGACAAAGTTTTTCATGTTTTTGCGTCAATATCAAAGATGCGAATGTCAGTGATGCTGCTGGAATTAAAATAGGTTGACGGTGGTGATTGGCAACAAGACCATAGCATATTCCAGCAAGTGTGGCAACTGTCAAAAAAATTAAGGGACAATCGAAATTGAAACATCAAAAGTAAAAAAAGCTTGGTTTTATATCACCACGTAGCTTTACAATAATAAAAAAAGGTAAACATGTTCATTTGTAATTATATAATACTTAATGTTTCTCATCTATTCTTAAATTTTCAATTGCATTATATCCGGTTCTGAATTTTTTTGAAATGTTTAATTTGTCTTTCGGATTAAATTTTTCGATCATAATTTTTTGATCGAAATGCCCTTTAATAAAATATGAAAATAATAATAAAAAAAATAAAAACACCTAAAGTCACAAGACCTAAATATTCTATTTTTTTTAAGTCTTTATAATTTTTTTGTTTTTTATTTTTTTATTTCAATCGGGGGTATTTAGGTAAAAAAAATTTATTTGATCAAAAAATTAGGCTGGAAGGATAGATTAAACATTTCAAACACATTATGGAACAAATAGGATGCAATTAAAAACCTAAAAAAGATGTAAGCTATTAAGTCCTATATAAAGACAAATGAATATGTTTATCATGATAATAATAATAATAATAAAAAAGTTCATATTAGTTGCATGTGTTTTCATTGAGCATGTTTTAAGCAAGTAGCACTCAATCAATGAACTTGTAAATCAACTAGCTAGCTTTATGTTTTTCTCTTTTTAATAGGTTTCAGAATTCAGACATTTTCTTTAGAATAAGAAACGAAAGTAACACTCATATAAAATAAATATTTCTTTCAATAAATTTAATTTGTGTTCAAGCATAATATTAAAGCAATAACTTAATACATGGTGAACACGAGACAAGAAAGAAGATGAAGACGATTGGATACAGTTAAAGTTGCCTTTCTCATGATGTTCTATTAATGTAGTTGAAGTTTTGTTCTTCAATTCACTTTGGATCACACTGGAAGGTATAGTTTTGTGATGTTATAATGTTGACGTAAGATATGTCAACATATTTAAGCAATATATTTAAAAATATAACTGTCAACAAATCAACATTTAAATTAGCATATATATATATATAACCACTAGGATTATTAAATAATAAAGAGTGGATTTTGAAACATGAAAAAAAAGAAGAAAATAATTATAAATAAATATAAAAATGAATCATTTCTTCGGACGAGAAGAAGATTATGTAAACACTTACTCGAAATCTCACTTATCGGATCCCATTGTGTGTTCCACAAATTTTTCTGAAGAATTCGCCATGATATATCTAATCCATGCATAATATTATGAAAAATGGATACAATTTTTTGACTGCTACTTAGTATCGGTAATAGGTGGTCTGAAAAGGTATCTAAAAATATCAAATTTAGATATTTGTACCCTGTCGAAGTAAGGAACCATGAGCATATATGTTTGGAATAGATTCCATTTAGAGAGAGTTGGGAAAGCACTATCTTGTTGAATTCGCTCATTTCAGCTAAAACGCAAAACTAGAATTCTTTTCATTTTAATTCGTTAATTCTTGATATTGATAAGAATTAAGAAGTCAAGTTTCATTCAAATTAATTGCTTTCATTAACAGTTTTTACATATATTATAAATAAAAAAGTAGTAGGAAATAGAATGAATAGTGCAGTAGCAATAAATGCGAGAATATTTACTTCCATAATCTCATCGTTTCGTTCATTTGGCTATGCGGGTTCTCCGTAATAATTATGACCCATTCCTTTAGCCAATTTAGCTCTTAATACAGGATAATTCAAGTCAAGTTTTTTTGTTATTGGGATAGGTGAATTTTTAAAAATCCATCCTTCGAAGGAATCGGACATGATAATTTTTCATTATTTGGCTCGACCAAAAATCAAACGAACCAAATGGATCCATATAAAAAAATCTACATGTTCTCTTTTTTTCATTATTTTTCACTAATAATAGTCACTAATACTAATAGTATTATTGCTAGCGCGAGTAAAAAAAAAGATTTTGTCCAATATCATTGATGAAACAATCCAAAAAATCCAATTAATTAAAACCAATTAATTAGAAGAAGTTCTATATGATTGCTAGTAGAATCGGGAAAGATTAAGTGCAAACAAAATAAGCAGCGGGGCTCTTAGAAGTATCAAGATTCTTTTTCCTCCGCTGTTTCTATTGGGGACAAATTCAACAAGTTATATCGGTAAAATGGAATAAGGTATTTTGCGTCTTTTGTTGATCGTGCAACACCCGCATTTGAACCGGGGAAAAAGGATTTGCGAGTCCCTTGCCTTACAACTCGACCATATCGCCAAGGCAATATAAAATAGAAATAAAAAATAGACGAAAGTAACCCTTTTTTTTGTTAATAAACCTTTTTTTTTTTTTTACTTGTATCTTGAATCCCATTTTTCTTAATCTTAATCCCTTTCCTAAGATAAATTCTCTTAATCCCTTTCCTAAAATAAATCCTTTCTTTTTTGGATTGGATCCATCTCTTTGATTCATTTTGTATAGTATGTCAAAACACACACTATCCGAATTCTTTCTCAATAATTGAAGTAGGAATCAATTTGATTCTACCATACATATTGATTGGGTAGATCGAGTCATAGTTGAAGTAAGAATCAATTTGATTCTACAATACATATTGATTGGGTAGATCGAGTCATACTTAGAGAGTCCGCCTTTTCCTTTCTTTTCAACTCATTTAGATTTAGATCTAATCCATTTTTTTTCTAGCTCGGCTATCTTACCTAGTTGAGTCATTCACCTTTATGATACCGAACCGAAAAAGCAATAAAAATATAAATGGATTCCCCAAGAAAAGGATAAAGAGGGATTCGAACCCTCGATGTTTGCAAAAAACTATACCGAGTTCTCAAGACCCGAGCCATCAAGCACTCGGCCATCTCTCCGAAAGATAATTTCTATTTTACTATTTTATTTTTATTTCGCCAAATAGAACACGACCGTAGGAGTTGATATCGTCGCTGCACTAGAGAAAGATTAGGTGTGAGTCGATGAGTCTATCTATATATTCTAGATAGATGTAGGATCTAAAATAACCATTTGTGAAATAAAAAAGGACTCTCAAGTCTATGTTCGAATAAAGTGGGAAAGGGATGGAAATAAGTCATATAGAATCAATGGATTCATGGTATAATCCCCTTACGATGTATTTTTTTTCCCGATAGAGGGATCAAATGGTATAGTTCTTTAGTCGGTAGCTTGGAGGATTAGAAACATGACTATTGCTTTCCAATTGGTTGTTTTTGCATTAATTGCTACTTCGTCAATCTTACTAATTAGTGTACCTGTTGTTTTTTCTTCTCCTGACGGTTGGTCAAGCAACAAAAATGTTGTATTTTTCGGTACATCATTATGGATTGGATTAGTCTTTCTGGTAGGTATTCTTAATTCTCTCATCTCTTGAACCCAGATACAAAAATGGAAAAGACCCCTCCGCAATTCTTTAGAGTTACGAGACACATTTAAATTCAATAAAAGTCCTCAAAATACAAAAAAAAAAAAAAAAAAAAAAAAACCCAAGGTTAGAGGGAGGGGTCAAACTTTCTTATAATTTGTAAATGAAAGTAAATGTAAAATTAAGTGTAATTTGATAAAAAAAAATTATATTATTGGAAAATCATTCTAAATTCTAATTTAGAATAATAAATTCTAAGAAATTTTAAATGAAATTTTTAATAAATTCTAAATGAATATAAACTTTCATTATATTAAAATGGAATAAAAAATAAAATGTATTATATAAATCTATTAATTAAATAGAATAGGAATATATTAAATAGGTAATAGGAATATAATAGGAATGGTCCTGAAAAGAATATCTGGCATAGCTATTCACAAATATGATCCAGGTACTGCGTGTCAATATCAAGACAAAAAATATGGATATAGTCGAATGGTAAAATTTCTCTTTTTCGAGGAGAAGACGCGGGTTCGATTCCCGTTATCCGCCCAAAGAAACTATTTAATAGGATAGAGGATTTAGTATAGTTGACCCTAATAGTCTAATATTTTTTATCCCCTACCCCCTTTTCTCCTCCCTAAAAAAAAAAAAAAAATTGGTAATTAATTACTTACTAGTTAACAGGGACAATCCTCATTTTTTTTTTGTCAAAAAAATGTTACGGAGATAGGATTTGAACCCGTGACCTCAAGGTTATGAGTTTTACGAGTTACCAAGCCGCTCTACCCCATATGATGGAGAGAAGAAGTGGGAACTAATGGACAAACAAGGATTGAATGTGCCCCTCTACAATATTTATATAAATAGAATAGCACATTTCTAAAGAATGGTAAAGAGGCTCCTCTATAATCGATGATCATAGAATGACTAGAAAAATGAAGGAAAATTTGGAATTTTTACCAACTATGGATACATTGTATCACAGCTAAACCGTAAATAGTGAAATAATAGCACCACTCCAATTTAGGTTGAAAAAAGAGAGAGGATAAAGTCAAATAGTCTTCTTATCAATATATATACTAAATATAGAAATGCGGTACAAGTAATTTCCCTAATTCGGTATAAAAAAAATAGAAACAAAAGTAAAACAAAAGTCTTTTCATAAATTTTTTTAGTACATCTATAATATGACAAAAAAAGAAAAAAATAGAAACAAAAATATAAGTGATAAGTGAATAGGTTCTCTATTTGTGACGATATATATATATCAACACATATATTGGTTTTTTAATTATCGGTTAGCAATGGTGAGCATTAATATACTAAACTATGCTAGACTTTTTTTTTTTTTAAAATCTATTGGACAATATCATTTAAAGTTTTTTTGAGGAAAAAAAAAGGCAATACAAGTTTAGTATTATTAGGATATTGTAGTAACTATGGTAAAATATACAAGTTTAGTATTATTAGGATATTGTAGTAACTATGGTAAAATATAAATTTATTTGAAAGAAAAACATGAAAATCAAATTTATTGATCTTGGAAATTTTTATTGAATTACATGCTGATCATTTACCCACAAAAGTAAACTTATATGCCCTTCTTGCAAGAGAAAAATAAAGAGAGGGGTTGGAGTGAGTTTCCATATTGGATTATAAGATAATCTAAAAATTGGATTTTTAGTCGTTTAAAATCTTTCTTTTCGCAATTTTATCTAATTTTCATTCCAACCCCTTTAATTTTAGTAAAATTTTACTTTAACCGCACCGTGACTAACTCTTGCAAAAATAGGCCCCTGATGGGCGCTTTTCAATCCTCATGAATAAGTTCACTTTAGTCCCTACATGCTAAATTTTAACTAACACATGGGTTTTTTATGCCACCAAATTCAATGATGTGTAAAATTTTTAATGGTTTAGTCCATAATTAATGTTAAGTAGTGAACTGGGCTTATCTAATTTGTCAATCTAGAAGTCGTAAAACATGGATCCCATAAATTTATTATTATTTTTAACATAGGAATGTCAAAATTTTAGAAAAAGTTGTAACCAGAATTGAGAGAAACAAATTGAAAAACTCACCAGAAGTAAATTCTCATGCAAAATTTCTTAGGAAGTTGAATTGATATCGGTTCGCTGTCAATTCTTTTCTGAGCGACATAGAACATTTTCTTTTTCAAGTTGTACGCATGGAGTGTGAGTTTGCAAAGTGGCAGAAGAAATTAAAGGGATCATTTGCCTTGCTAGTAGCTACCTCTACTCAAAACTACCAGGGCTTATAGCGAATGATACGAATTATCTTTCTCTATACTTAATCAGATGTCTTATGGCCACATATACCCTTAGCTGATTACAAATGATTGTAGTGGTGCATGCCTTATTTTTGCTACGCTTTTCTTCTTTAATTTCTTCCTTGGATCCTCATGACTATAACTAGACTCCCAACTCCCAAGTGATTGCTGGCCTATGTCATGAATACCATTTTATGCTTGATGCTTTCGGTGACCATGTATATAGTAAATGCTTGTCGGGGTTAGATTTGAATTCCATCTATTATTTTTTTTAAAAAAATCCAATTATTTATCTTGATATTGATCTTTCAACAATATCGGCATTCTAGTTTGATCCTTGTTCTGGATCGAAAACATTCATCATTTCAGTGAGAAATTTTATCATGGTGCTTGTAGGCATGTAATATGACGCAACGCTAGCTGACAAATTTTACATTAGCAAAACCACAACCATAATAGTACTGACCAGCAAGCATGATCTCTTAGGATGAAAGTGAAAACATTTCATAGATATATAACATAATGAAATTAGATGCACACACATTACAACTAGGTCTCTCAGTCCTACAAGTTTTCTTAAAACATGTCATACAACATGGTAGACAACACACCAAGCAGAAAAGGCACTAGAAAACAGAAGGCTTCCTGACCCAGTGGAAGCCACTTATTCTCGTACAATTCAGTAGATCCTTCAGCATCCTTAGACAAAGCACCGAGCAGCGCCGATCCATCAGCTTCACTTCACGCTACAACAGCCCAGAAAAAAGAAAATACAAGATCGATCGGAATCAATAAATTACATAGAAAACATTGAATAGCACAATTTATTAAGGAACGTATATCTATACATATACATATAATTAAGCATACCTTGCGCAATCAGTAGAGGGGTCAATCTTGTAAGGAAGGTTAACACCGCACTTGCCAGGAATTCCAGCAGCAAGGGCAACGTTACGGCTATTGTATCCGAATTGACTAGCCGTGCTTTTCAAGCATCTGCACACACCCTGACGGTCCGGTGTGTTACTGGCTGCGTTGTTAAGGCCCTTGATGGCATTGCAACAATCTTGTGTCAGCCCCCCATTGCCGATTACGTAGGGTACGCAAGGGGTTAAAGTGTTAACCACCTGATTACATTGAATTGCTGCTTTAGTTGTGGATGCAGTCAGGACCATGATGCACACAACCAAGTAAACTAACTTAGGGGCTCTAGAACTTGCCATGATTGACGAATCTATTGGAGTAAACTATAAGCTGAACTTGCTACTGGTCGAAGAGTGAGTTTTACCCCTCAGGATGTGGTGTTTATATAGGGAAAATGTGGACGTATTATTGGTGAAAAATTTATGTTCCATGAGAAAAATTATTAAATGCTTGGTAGTTGAGGCTAATGGGATTTGGTTGCAAATTTTAAATGCTGCAATTAATTAAACAAGTGAGTCATCATCCAAACCCCAACTATCACCGTGGGCAAATTAAAGAAAGAAGTTACTTCTAGCATACTGTGCTACTTACCATATGCAGGTTCGTACACACGTTGATGTAAAGGCAAACTCAAGAACTTATATATTTCTGTTGAACAGAAACTACAAAATTGTATCATTAAAGCTCAATAGCTCTTTCAAGAGCCATAATTTATATTTCTCAAATAAAAAAGGAACCATAATGGTTTCGTTCCTTTTGTGATTGCATATGATATTATCGTTTATCAGAAAGCTGGCTGGCGGCGTTTTAGGACATTTTTCTAAGAGCTTTCGGTAGTAAAAAATGTCTTTATCTGTTTTGTTAAGAAATCTTAAATGCTAGAGAATTTGAGATTTCTAAAAATATCATATCCCCTCCAAAGCTAGGAAAGGGATGCTCTTCTCAAATGACGGGAATCACATTTCCTAGATTTGAAGGGAATGTGATCTTAAAAATCTCAAATTCCCTTGCATTCAAGATTTCTTACTAAACAATCATTCCATGTGGAAGGGAATGTGAAATATATATATACACACACTTTAAATGCCTTTATATTTTTATTTGAAATGGACTAAGTTATCTTTGCTTTTATCAATAATAACATAATTAATATAATATACATGCTATGTAATTTTTTGGTTGACTTATTATTTTACTTGGTAGTTATAGCTTTTTTTTTTTTTAATGAATTGGTAGTTATACTTTATAAAATTAAATTTATAGTTTAATCTTATTTAACACATTGATTTGAAATGTATTTAATATATTATATACATGTTTATGTGCGTAGTTATTTAGAAGAAAAAAAATCAAGTTTACAAATTAGATATTTTTTAAGTTTCAAGGATATTATTAAAGTTATTTAAATTTCTCATGAATTCTCATGGATTAACCAAGACATATTATTAGGATTTTTTAATTTCAATCAAATACAAATATCATATTTCCAATAATCATATTCCTAACAATCACATCTTGAATATCTAAAAATTCGCATATCAAGTCCAATAGGTTAAATTAAATATGTCTAAGCATATATGCGGGGTAAAAATTATTAGGATACATACTTCTTATTATGAAGGATTAAGTGCTCAAGCAATTATTGAAGGAAAGCCAATGGTCTCAAGGAAAAAGAGCATTTTAGTCTATGCTAGTATTTTATAATCTTATATATGTTGATGGAGGACACATGACTTTGTTTAAAATTTATATAGTGAAACTAGAATTGTCTTTTTATTGAGAATGTATTTTGTAATGTATTTTTATATTGAATATTGTATAAATGTGAGGTGTACTTAGGGTGCATCATAGCTTGGTAGTCTTGAGCAACGAGAGGAATATATCTCGGTTGCATGTATATATATCGCAATTGTTTCCGTTACAACGGTAACAAACACAATAAACACATTTTCAGATTTGATTCCTTTCTCTCTCTCATTTTCTCGACATGGTATCCGAGCTTAGAATTTCAGATTCAATTTCTTTTCTTCAACAATTAAAAAAGAAGAAGAGGTTTTGTTATTTCAATCGCTGTAAACTCGATTTGTGATTTTATTCTTCTCCGATTTCCGAAGAAATTTAATTTTCAATTTCATGGCGAAACCAATCGATTCTTCGAGCTTGCAAAGACCTACTCGTGAGAGATATTAATGATCCATTGTATCTACATCGTTTAGATACATCGAACCTAGTACTTATTTCACATCTACTTAGAGGAGAAGAAGATTACAACTCATGGAGCAAAGCAATGATAATTTCCTTAGAAGCAAAAAGGTAGGACGGTTTTGTCACTAGACATTGTGTGAAACTAAATCCGGAATCATCCGATTACACACGAGTGGAAGAAGTGCAATGCCTTGGTTCATACTTGGCTTTTTAATTCGGTGAATACATAATTGTTTAATGGCTTGATGTATTATCAATCGAGTAGAGGATGTTTAGAAAGATATGAATGAAAGGTTTTATAAACAACATGGAGCTAAGAAATTTGCTCGCATAAGGAAATTCATTCCTTAGTTTAAGGAATAGATAGTGTGGCAATTCACTACTCAAAGTTAAGAAACCTATGGGATCAATATGATTCGTTGATTCCTACACTTACTTGTGTTTGTTCGAGTTGCAAGAATGAGGTTTCACGATCATTTGTGGAGTACACACAACAACACAAGATGATGTAATTTTTGATGGGATTAAATGATCATTTTCAACTAGTGAGATCACAAATTCTATTGATGAATCCTTTACCTACGGACGTATTCAATGGTGTCAAATGAAGAATCACAGCGAGGGATGTATATGCTTCAAGAAACACTTACTACATTTTATTCGGTTAAACCCCCATACCAAATCAAAACAATCCTCCGATAAGGCTAATTGGCGTAGAGATATTGTTTGTTAATACTGTCATGTTTCGGCTACAACAAGAATTATTGCTACAAATTACATGGTTATCCAAACTCCAATAACATAATGGTTGGGACTAATAGAGATAGAAGATTTAGAGGTGCTACTAGTGGAGATAGAAATCATGCAAGCATTGCACATCGAGTCAACTACATAAGGAATGATTCTATTCCTTTTTATAATCATCAAGGGTTACCAATGCAAACTATGGGAGATTAGTATTCTATGGGAAGAAGTTCAACTATGGGAAATTCCGTGCAAGCTCGACCAGCTTTTTCTCAACAACAATATCAATAAATTTTGGAGTTCGTTGGTTGCTAATAACATATCTTTAGGAAAATGTGTCCGGAAAGAAGAATTGCTTGCAAATATGGCAAGTAATTACTTCGTGATTACATTGATTTGAATGCATTTACGGATGAATAGATAGTTGATACTCGGTGCGAATATTCACATGAATGGTCAATTTATATCTTAAATAATCCTAGAAAATTAGCTTTTAATCTTACTTGTTCGATTACCTAATGGCAAGCAGCACCTTAGTTACTCATATAGGTTCGGTAAATCTACCACGAATGAGTCTTCATGTTGTCCTTTATTTACTAGATTTCAAGTTTAATCTGTTATCGGTAGCTCATTTCACTACCGATAACCGAGTGTTTAGCCTTTTTTACCCCCATTTCGTCTCTTTTAAGACCTCAAGACTCGGGAAGACAAGGAGGATTGGTAAACTTAGAGATGTTTTATATCATGTTTTATCAAACACCTTTGATTAAGTTCTTTTAAAACACATTTCTTTTTGTTTGTTATCTCGTGTATTCTAATTCTTGTAATAAAGCTATCATTCCTCCATATTTTGTCAAGGATGATGTAGTACTTTGGCATAAAAGATTTAGACATATACCTCTTAATAGACTTCGTATGATGCATGGATTGTAATTCTTTTTAACCAATTGTGATTTGTGATGCGATGTTTGTCCACTTGCAAAATAAACCAGATTGCTTTTTCCATAAAGAACCTCTTGTACTCATTCCATATTTGATCCGATTCATCTAGATATATGGGGACCTTATAGACATACTATTTATAATCAAGAGAGATATTTCCTTTTCATAGTAGATGATTTTTTTAAAGGAACATGGACATTTCTCATGAAAACCAAATCTCAAACACTTCAATTAATCATTCATTTTTATACCCTTGTTCAAACATAATTTTTTTGTTCCATTAAATGAATTAGAACCGATAGAGGTTTTGAGTTTATGTAGATAGCTTGTCAACAATTCTTTTCTTCAAGGGGTATTATTCATGAAACTACTATATCGTATACCCCTCAACAAAATGGGATTGTGGAGAGAAAACATAGACATATCCTTAATATTGCTAGAGCCATTATGTTTCAGTCTAAAGTTCTTATTAAATTTTAGGGGGATTGTGTCTTAACCTCTACCTAAATTATCAATAGGACTCCCATACCTCTTTTGCATGGACAAACTCCATTTGAGATATTACTTCATAAACCTCCATCATTTAAGCATCTTAGAGTGTTTGGATGTTTTTTTTTTTATGCCAAAGTACTTCCTTTTCATGAAAAATTTGCTCTCGGATCTAAACCTTATCTCTTTTTAGGATATCCTTATTCATAAAAAGGATATAAGGTTATAGACTTAACATCACATATCTTTTTTTTTCTAGAGATGTTTAGTTTCATGAATCTATTTTCCCTTATTTTCTTTACTCACTACTTCTCATGATCATTTTTTTCTCGCTAAACCTATTTCTCAATGGCAATATGATGATGAAATTGTTCCTAATAATACAACTCGATACATCTCTTTCAATGTCTTGTACTCCTAGTTAGTTTGTTTCCCCGACTCTTCTCGCTTTACCATCTCCTCCGTAGAATCCCGCTTATTTAACTCTTAGTCCTTCTATTTCCCCTCCTATCATGTCTAATTTGCTTCCTCTTAAGTGATCTTCTAGAGTCTCCAAGCTACCTTTTTGGTCAATCGATTATTCTTGTCCCATTTTACCTCAATCCAATCGTATTCCAATATCTTCTAGTCTTTATTACCTTTCTAATTATCTATCTTATGCTTCTATTTCCTCTCCATATACTACTTTTTTTGGCTTTTATTTCTGCTATCCGAGAACCCGAAACTTATTCGAAGCCATTAATAATTCTCGGTGGGTTGATGTTATGTCTAAGGAAATTCAAGCTCTTGAATTGAACAAGACATGTAATTTAGTACCTTTACCATGTAATAAGAAGCCTATAGGATGTAAATGAGTTTACAAAGTGAAATACAATTCGATGATAGTGTAGAGAGGTACAAAACCGAGCTTGTGATCGAG